TGTGGTGTGACACCACTTTAGCTCCCATTGCTCAATACTATGGAATCCTGGGCATTTAGTGAGATGTTTCATGCTACAGTGGAGCTGCACACATGTTCTCCAGGTGTTGAACCTTCTTGGGGTGCATCTACACTGCACAATGAATGTGGTGTGACACCACTTTAGCTCCCATCGCTCAATACTATGGAATCCTGGGTATTTAGTGAGATGTTTCATGCTACAGTGGAGCTGCACACATGTTCTCCAGATGTTGAACCTTCTTAGGGAGCATCTACACTGCACAATGAATGTGGTGTGACACCACTTTAGCTCCCATTGCTCAATACTATGGAATCCTGGGCATTTAGTGAGAAGTTTCATGCTACAATGGAGCTGCACGCATGTTCTCCAGATGTTGAACCTTCTTAGGGTGCATCTACACTGCACAATGAATGCGGTGTGACACCACTTTAGCTCTCATCACTCAATACTATGGAATCCTGGGCATTTAGTGAGATGTTTCATGCTACAGTGGAGCTGCATGTTCTCCAGATGTTGGAGCTACAGTGGAGCTGCATGTTCTCCAGATGTTGAACCTTCTTAGGGCGCATCTACACTGCACAATGAATGTGCTGTGACACCACTTTAGCTCCCATGGCTCAATACTATGGAATCCTGGGCATTTAGTGAGATGTTTCATGCTACAGTGGAGCTGCACGCATGTTCTCCAGATGCTGAACCTTCTTAGGGTGCATCTACACTGTAGAATTAATGCATATTGACATCCCAGGTGTGATTGACCCTATAGTTCAGCGTGTGCCTGGTTCTTGTCCCCGTTGTCCCTTCCAAGGACGAGGGAATGGGCATTTTGGACATAGTCCAGCCACCTGGACCTCTGCAGGAAGCCTTTCTCCCGATCCCATTCCTCCTCGGGCAGAATTCCAGGCACGTTTTCAAGTGACTGGCCCCATTCTCCGGCCAATTCCCTTGGCTCGCAAAGGCTGGCCATCTGGGCCCACAGGCCGGAGTGACCTCCAGTTCCGGCCCCTGAGCGCTATCTGACCCACTTGGATCCATCCACGCCTTCCACAAAGTCGGCCGCTGCTCGGAAGGTGCCCAAAGGCACGGCAGGACCAAACCCAACACGCTTCCTTTGGCCACAGAGCCAACGCTTTGACCAACCAGCCTTACTAATGTAATCGCTCTCTCATTTGTTAATGGGAGCCGGGCACCGTCTCTTGCTCTCGCCTCTCGATTGCCAGGCTCGAAAGATAGAGAGCGGGCAGGAAGCGGGCATCCTCCTTCCGCGGAAATGGATCCAAATGGCAAGGAAAGCGATGGCACCAAAACATGACACAAGAGATTGAGTGATAGTGCTTGGAATGTGGAAGGAGGGGTGTTTTGTTTTTGTAATTCTGCCAGGGCTCATTGCTATAGAATCCTGGGAGTTGTAGTTTGGTGAGGCACCAGCCATATTTAGCAGAGAAGACTTGCAAAACAACAACTCCCAGGATCACAGAATCCTAGAACCCTTGAGTTGGAAGAGACCTCATGGGCCATCATCCAGTCCAACCCCCTTCTGCCAAGAAGCAGGAAAATCACCTTCAAAGCACCCCCGACAGATGGCCACCCAGCCTCTAAGCCTCCAAAGAAGGAGCCTCCACCACACTCTGGGGCAGAGAGTTCCACGGCTGAACAGCTCTTCTTACAATCAGGGAGTTCTTCCTGATGTTCTAGGATTCTGAATCCTAGAATCCTAAAGTTGGAAGAGACCCGGTGGGTCATCATCCAGTCCAACCCCATTCTGCCAAGAAGCTGGAGAATCATCTTCAAAGCACCCCTGACAGATGGCCATCCAGCTTCCGCTTCAAAGTCTCCAAAGAAGGAGCCTCCACCACACTCCGGGGCAGAGAGTTCCACTGCTGAACAGCTCTCTCTCTCCCAGTCAGGAAGTTCCTCTTAATGTTCAGGTGCAATCTGAATCCTACAGTTGGAAGAGACCTCGTGGGTCATCATCCAGTCCAACCCCATTCTGCCAAGAAGCAGGAAAATCGCCTTCAAAGCACCCCTGACAGATGGCCATCCAGCCTTTGTTTCAAAGCCTCCAAAGAAGGAGCCTCCACCTTGTGCAATAGTGCTTAGAATGTGGAAGGATGGGTGTTTTGTTTTTGTAATTCTACATCCAGACTCATAGAATCCAACTCACCTTCAAAGCACCCCCAACAGATGGCCACCCACCCTCTGTTTCAAAGAAGGAGCCTCCACCACATTCCCTCTAGGGCAGAGAGTTCCACAGCTGAACAGCTCTCTCTCACACACAGTCAGGAAGTTCCTCCTAATGTTCAGGTGCAATCTGAATCCTAGAATCCCAGAGTTGGAAGAGACCTGGTGGAGGGCCATCCAGTCCAACCTCTTTTTGCCAAGAAGCAGGAGAATGGTCTTCAAAGCCCCCCTGACAGATGTCCACCCAGCTTCCACTTCAAAGCCTCCAAAGAAGGAGCCTCTACCACACTTTGGAGCAGAGAGTTCCATTGCTGAACAGCTCTCCCAGTCAGGAAGTCCTCTTAATGTTCAGGTACAATCTGAATCCTAGAATGCTAGAGTTGGAAGAGACCTCGTGGGTCATCATCCAGTCCAACCCCATTCTGCCAAGAAGCATGAAAATCATCTTCAAAGCACCCCTGACAGATGACCACCCAGCCTCTGTTTCAAAGAAGGAGCCTCCACCACACTCCCTCTAGGGCAGAGAGTTCCACAGCTGAACAGCTCTCTCTCTCCCAGTCAAGAAGTTCTTCCTGATGTTCAGGTGCAATCTGAATCCTAGAATCCTAGAGTTGGAAGAGACCTGGTGGGACTTCATCCAGTCCAACCCCATTCTGCCAAGAAGCAGGGAAATTGCCTTCAAAGCACCCCCCACAGATGGCCTTCCAGCTTCCACTTCAAAACCTCCAAAGAAGGACCCTCCACCACCCTCCCTCCGGGGCAGGCTCATGCTCACCTTCCTCCCCACAAGGACTTCCAGATCTTTTCCACACGCCGTGCTCTCGAGCCAGGCATCATTGACACCTTCCAAACAGAGGATGCCTCCAGGCAGCAGAGGCCCAGCCACTCCTATGCAGATACCGTCACTGATTGATTTTGCAAACTTCATGGCTACTCAAATACGAATTCAAACTTGCGACTGGCAACATTCACACCTGCCTCATAATTTCACAGATATATATATACACTCCACTTGCCTCATTCTCACAGACCTCTGGACATTAGCCACAGATGCAGGCAAAACATCAGGACAGAATGCTGCTGGAATAAAGGCTAGACAGTCCAGAAAACTCACAGCAACCCAGTGATTCCGGCCATGAAAGCCTTCGACAACATGATGGGTGTTTGTTTTGTAATTCTGCATATATAATGTATATTGGGAATGGCATTTAATTTTCATTGTAAGATGTACAAGGATAATAAAGATATTCTATTCTGTTCTATTCATCAGGATTTTGTATGCTAGCAATGGTGTGAATCCGCTCCAGGTTTTAGCCCGAACTTTAAAAGACATATCAATGGTGTCGAACTCTATCTCTCCCAGATAGTTCTTGGACTAAAACTAAGTCCAAGCCCACTTTGGCCCTGCAGAGTGTTCAACCCCATAAATATGACCTCCCAACCCTGCTCTACGCCTGCGAAACGTGGACTGTCTACAGATGTCACATGCAACTCCGCTCCCTTGGCAGCCACCTCTTCACCAACATTGACACCAAAATACAACACCGCCTGAGCTCTGTGAGTGGAGCATTTTTCTGAATGAAGCAGAGAGAGTTTGAGGACTGGGACACCCATAGGGATACCAAGGGGCTTGTTTATAAAGCTATGGTCCTCCCAACCCTGCTCTACGCCTGCGAAACGTGGACTGTCTACAGACGTCACATACAACTTTGCTCCCTTGGCAGCCACCTCTCCACCAAAGTCAACATTGATACCGAAATACAACACCGCCTGAGCTCTGCGAGTGCAGCATTTTTCCGAATGAAGCAGAGAGTGTTTGAGGACCGGGACATCCATAGGGAGACCAAGGGGCTTGTTTATAAAGCCATTGTCCTCCCAACCCTGCTATACGCTTGCGAAACGTGGACTGTCTATAGACATCAACATTGACACTGAAATACAACACCGCCTGAGCTCTACAAGTGCAGCATTTTTCTGAATGAAGCAGAGAGTGTTTGAGGACCGGGCCATCCATAGGGACACAAAGGGGCTTGTTTATAAAGCCATTGTGCTCCCAGCCCTGCTCTACGCTTGTGAAACGTGGACTGTCTACAGATGTCACATGCAACTCCTGGAACGATTCCACCAGCGCTTCCTCCAGAAAATCCTGCAAATCTCTTGGGAAGACAAGCGGACAAATGTCAGCGTGCTGGAAGAAGCAAAGACCACCAGCATTGAAGCAATGGTCCTCCAACATCAACTCCGCTGGACTGGCTATGTTGTCCGGATGTCCACCACCATCTCCCAAAGCAGTTGCTCTACTCCGAACTCAAGAACGGAAAACAGAATGTTGGAGGATAAGAAAAGAGATGGAAAGATGGGCTCAAAGCCAACCTTAAAAACTCTGGCTTAGACACTGAGAACTGGGAAGCCCTGGCCTGTGAGCGCTCCAGCTGGAGGTCAGCTGTGACCAGCAGTGCTGCAGAATTTGAAGAGGCACAAATGGAGGGCGAAAGAGAGAAATGTGCCGAGAGGAAGGTGCATCAAGCCAACCCCGAACGAGACCGCCTTCCACCTGGAAACCAATGTCCTCACTGCAGGAGAAGATGTAGATCAAGAAGAGGGCTCCATGGTCACCTACGGACCCACCGTCAGGACACCAACCTTGGAGGACCATCATCCTCGGACAACGAGGGATCGCCTAAGTAAGTAAGTGAAGACCTCCCTCCTCCCTTCCTGCTCCTTTCCCCCCATTTTTCTCAGCTGACCAAGGAGAGACATCGGCAGGAACGTCCAGAAGAGAGAGATCTTCAACTCACCAACGTCGGACTCTTTGTGGGTTTTGATGATTTCAGCCAATTCGAAATTCCCCGCGATGATGGCCACCTGCAAGAGGAGGAAGTGGAAAGGCAGAGGAGTGAACCGAGAGGCAGAATGCTCTATAGAAGAATCAATACCCTAAAGGTCATCTAGTCTGACCCCTTTCCGGCAACAATCCTGGAGGACATCCGCCACCAACACTGCAAAACAAATGCAGTTTGACACCACTTGAACTTCCACAGCTCAATGCTTATGGATTCTGGGAGTTATCATTTGACAAGGCTCTTTAGACTACTCTGTCATAGCATTCCGAACTACAACTCCAAAGATTCCATAGCATGGAGCAATGGGCATTCAAGTGGAGTCGAACTGGATTATTTCTACAGTCCAGATGCACCCAGAGGAGAGCCCACCAATGCCCATGTGCCATGCGTGTGTCCATGCAATAATTACTAATCATTCATACATCCATTTATGCAGACCACAAATAGTTGTGGAGACCAAGCAAGGGAAACCTACTGATTGCTAGGAATTGTGGGAGTTGAAGTCCAAAACACATGGAAGGCCAAAGTTTGCCCATGCCTCTACTATCCACAACTAAAACATTCTTCAAAGATGGTCATCTCTTTGAAGGAGAGCCTACCACCTTCCGAGGCAGTCCTTATGCTGGATGTGAAAGGGATCTTAAAGGTCATCTAGTCCACATACACACACACACATCCTTCTGGCATGGGTGAAAACACAGCCAAAGCACTCCTGGAAGATGTCCACCCAACCTCTGTTGAAAGGCCTCCAAAGAAGGAGAGCCCACTCACATGTAAGGCAGGTGTATATGAACGGGATCCCCCAAGGTTCATCCCATGCAAGTCCTACCTGGAACGCCGTCTGGCTGTTGTAGTTCCGGATCTCTTTGCTGGCCCCTCGGAACAGAAGGACCCGGGCACAGCTCTCCTGGAAGGAGAAGGAGGGAAGGCAAAAATGAGACAAGAGAAAGAGAAAGAGAGAGAGAGAGCGAGAGAGAGAACGGGAGGCTTCTGTTGTATGTCAGCCTGTTCAGCCTGTGATTGTGTTTGATGTTCATGCTGATGTTCATGATGGGAATGATGTTCATGTTGATGTTCATGTTGATGTTCATGATGGGAACGATGTTCATGTTGATGTTCATGTTGATGTTCATGACGGGAATGATCTTCATGTTGATGTTCATGTTGATGTTCATGACGGGAATGATCTTCATGTTGATGTTCATGTTGATGTTCATGACGGGAATGATCTTCATGTTGATGTTCATGTTGATGTTCATAACGGGAATGATCTTCATGTTGATGTTTATGTTAATGTTCATGACGGGAATGATCTTCATGTTGATGTTCATGTTAATGTTCATGACGGGAATGATCTTCATGTTGATGTTCATGTTAATGTTCATGACGGGAATGATCTTCATGTTGATGTTCATGCTGATGTTCTTGATGGGAATGATGTTCATGCTGATGATCATGATGGGAATGATCTTCATGTTGATGTTCATAATGGGAATGATCTTCATGTTGATGTTCATGGTGATGTTCTTGATGTGAATGATGTTCATGCTGATGTTTTTGATGGGAATGATGTTCATGTTGATGTTCATGATGGGAATGATGTTCATGCTGATGTTCTTGATGGGAATGATGTTCATGCTGATGTTCATGATGGGAATGATGTTCATGCTCTGATGTTCATGATGGGAATGATGTTCAAGCTGATGTTCATGAAGGGAATGATGTTCATGCTGATGTTCTTGATTGGAATGATGTTCAAGCTGATGTTCATGAAGGGAACTATGTTCATGTTGATGTTCATGATGGGAATGATGTTCATGCAGATGTTCTTGATGGGAATAATTCTCATGCAGATGTTCTTGATGGGAATGATGTTCATGCAGATGTTCTTGATGGGAATGATGTTCATGCTGATGTTCATGAAGGGAATGATGTTCAAGCTGATGTTCTTGATGGGAATGATATTCATGCTGATGTTCTTGATGGGAATGATGTTCATGTTGATGTTCATGATGGGCATGTTCTTGATGGGAATGAGGATGGTGGTCAGGTTGCTGGGCTGGGGTCTGTTGGCATTGGGAATGAGGGGTTGCTTGGGCCTGAGCTAAGCTCAGAAGGGAGACCTGAGCTGTCTCAGGAAGATTCACAAGGCCACATTCCTGGGAGAGGCCTCTCACCACTTTTCTGAGAACAACTGTCTGAAAATGATGCTGAGATTGATTTACCAGATGCAGGAGTCCATATGGGGGAGTATGGTGAAAATTTGGACATAAAGTGAAGTTTTAGTAAACAGAGGCATAATTTTTAGAGACAATCGGTTTGACTACATCAAAAGAGAGATAACAACTGTTATCTGGTGGGAAGGTCAAGAAAAATGTTTTTCTCTCAGTTTTGGGATTTGGTAAAGCTTTATAATGATTCATGGGAGAATGTTGCCTCAGTCGGGTCAACGTTGTTATTTTACCATGGTCTTGTTTACAAGTGTTCTGAGTTTCATGCACCAAGTTTTTGTCAAACCTAAGATTTGCCTATGGGATTTTTCTGTTTTGTTTCATGGTTTCAAGTGCCTTGTTTCATGGATTTCTATGTCTTCCTGGATCTTGTTTCCCTTTGAAGCTTATAGACTATTTTGGATTTTGGACCTTTACTGTTTTGCCATTTTTTTACTGCTTTGCCTACATATTTTCTATAATAAACTGCTTGCCGATTTTACCAAGTTGGTATGGTGTTCAAGGCCACAAGTGTTCCTGCTCTTCTCCATTCCTGGTTTTTTTTTTTCCCACAGGTGAATTCAACTACTGCCTGTCTCACCTGGCCCATCAGTGGCTAAGGGGCACACTGCCCTTGTTGGGGTGGGGACATAGAAGGGCAAAGGGTCAAGGGAGTCCTCACCTGGTTGTAGAGGGCACACACATGGAGGGCGGTGTTCCCGGAGGCGTTCTGCGCAGTCATGTCGGCCCCATAGAAGAGAAGGTGCTCCAGGTGCTGGACGTGGCCGTAGCGGCAGGCCTGCGCCAGAAGAAAGTGGGAAAGAGAGGAAGGTGGAGGAATCAGGTAAGATGTGGGTGGGTCATCTACACCAACCTCCTCCCACTATGGAGGAAGTCACAGCTAAAGCATTCCAGAAAGAGGTCCATACAGCCTCTGGTTAACTGCCTCCAAAGAAGGAGAGTTCATCACCTTCTAAGGCACTCCCACACTAGTTATGGAAAGGGCCCGTCAAGGTAATCTAGTCCAACCCCATTTTGCCACAAATGAAGCACTCTTGGAAGAGGTTCATCCAGGCTCCTGTTAAAAGGCCTCCAAAGAGTCCATCACTTTCTAAGGTGGTCTCACATTAGGGAAAAGGTCCTTAAAGGCCATCTAGTCCAACCCCATTTTGCCAGAACTGAAGCACTCCTGAAAGAGGTCCATACAACCTCTGTTGAAAGGCCTCCAAGGAAGTAGAAACCATCACACTCTGAGACCTACATATCTGGAACCCATTACATGCAAAGTATATAATATCCCAGAGTTGGAAGGATCCCCCCCCCAAGGGTCATCTAGACCAGTCCCCTTCCACTATGCAGAAATACACAACTGAAGCACTCTTGAAAGAGGCCCATCTTACCCCTGTTGAAAGGCTCTCCAAAGAAGGAGAGTGGACCACAGTACATGTGTAAGGTACCTCTAAGGGTCATCTAGTCCAACCCCTTCTGCCATGGTGGTAATACAGAACTGAAGCACTCCTGAAAGAGGCCCACCTGACCTCTCTTCAAAGGCCCACAAGGAAGGAGAACCCATCATCCTTAGAGGCAATCTTATACTAGATACTTAAGGTGTTCCTAAGGGTCATCTAGTCCAGCCCTATGCAGGAAAACACAACTGAAGCACTCCTGAAAGAGGCCCATCCAAGCACTGTTGAAAGTTCTCCATGGAAGGAGAGACCACCACCATCTGAATCCTATATAGATGGGATCTGGAACCTTTTACATGCAAAGTATATAATATCCCAGAGTTGAAAGGGGTCCCCGAGGGGTCATCTAGTCCAACCCCTTCTGTCATGGAGGTAATACAGAACTGAAGCACTCCTGAAAGAGGCCCACCTGACCACTGTTGAAAGGCCTCGAAGGAAGGAGAACACATCACCCTTAGAGGTAGTCTTATACTAAATACTTAAGGTGTTCCTAAGGGTCATCTAGTCCAGCCCTATGCATGAAAACACAACTGAAGCACTCCTGAAAGAGGCCCATCCAAGCTCTGTTGAAAGTTCTCCATGGAAGGAGAGACCACCACCATCTGAGTCCTATACAGATGGGGTCTGGAACCTTTTACATGCAAAGCATATAATTTACCAGAGTTGAAAGGAGTCCCCAAGGAGTCATCTAGTCCAACCCCTTCTGCCATGGAGGTAATACAGAACTGAAGCACTCCTGAAAGAGGCCCACCTGACCACTGTTGAAAGGCCTCCAAGGAAGGAGAACCCATCACCCTTAGAGGCAGTCTTATACTAGATATTTAAGGGGTTCCTAAGGGCCATGTAGTCCAGCACTATGCAGGAAAACACAACTGAAGCACTCCTGAAAGAGGGCCATCCAAGCTCTGTTGAAAGTTCTCCATGGAAGAAGAGACCACCACCATCTGAGTCCTATATAGATGGGATCTGGAACCTTTTACATGCAAAGTATATAATATCCCAGAGTTGAAAGGGGTCCCCAAGGGGTCATCTAGTCCAATCCCCTCCCCCCATGCAGAAAGGCACAACTAAAGCACTCTTGAAAGCCTCCAAGGAAGGGGAGCCCACCACGCTCTGAGAGGCAGTCTTACACTAGATCCCTAGAGGGCATCTAATCCAGCCCCGCCTGAAAGGTCTCCATCCAGACTCTGTTGATGTGGAAGGGACCCCAAAGGGCCATCCAGTCCAGCCCCATTCGCCCATGCAGGAAGACACCAGTGCATTGCAGGGTCGCCTAGCTCAGGAAGTGTTCCAAAGTGGGGGCCCTCTCTCCCATTTGAGGCGAGGGGCTGTGTTTGGGAGGAAGGGGCCCGTATCCCCTGGTCTCACCTGGTGGATCTCCTGCCAGCCGTTCTCGTCCACGCAGCCCACCCGGGCGTAGTCGTGCAGCAGCAGCTCGCAGCAGTAGGGGTCCCCGCCCACCATGGCGCTGTGGTAGAGTGGGGTCAGCCCCCGGCTGTCCTTGTAGTCCGTGGAGGCCCCCAGGTCCAGCAGCGTCTGCCAACACACAAACCAGGGGAGGGGGGAAGGGGTCCTGGTCAGTGCCAGCAGGGACCGTGTGGCCAAGGGAGATTGCAGCCACTTCCTTGACCACAAGGGGTCAGGAACTCACAGATTCATAGGCAGAGAAGGCCATCCAGGCTAACTCCATTCTGCCAGGCAGGAGGACACTATCTAAGCCCAACAGATAGCCATCCATCCATCCATCCATCCATCCTCCAATATTATTATTATTAATAATAATAATAATAATAGAATCCTAGAGTTGGAAGAGACTCCCTCAAAGGCCACCCAATCATCAACATCATCATCATCATCATCATCGAATCCTAGAGTTTGAAGGACCATCCTGTCCCACCTTCTTCTGGCAGGCATAGACACTGAGAACTGGGAAGCCCTGCTCTTGACCGCTCCAGCTGGAGGTCAGCTGTGACCAGCAGTGCTGCAGAATTCGAGGAGGCACGAGTGGAGGGTGAAAAAGAGAAGCATGCCAGGAGGAGGGCGCATCAAGCCAACCCCGACCGGGACCGCCTTCCACCTGGAAACCAATGCCTTCACTGTGGGAGAAGATGCGGGTCAAGAATAGGGCTCCACAGCCACCTACGAACCCACAAAAATAGTCATCAAGGAAGACCATCTTACTCGTCCAACGAGGGATCTCCTAAGTAAGTAAGTAAGTAAGTAAAGGATGGCAGGAAGACACAATTTAAGCCCTCACAACAGATGGCCATCCATCCTCCAGTAATAATAATAATAATAATAATAATAATAATAATAATAGAATCCTAGAGTTGGAAGAGACCCCCTCAAAGGCCATCCAGTCCAACCCTATTCTACAAGAACCAACAGCCACCCAGCCAATCATCATCATCATCATCATCATCATCATCATCATCAAATCCTAGAGTTTGAAGGGCCATCCTGTCCCACCTTCTTCTAGCAGGTAGGAAGACACCATTTAAGCCCTCTCAACAGATGGCCATCCATCCCCCAATAATAATAATAATAATAATAATAATAATAATAATAATAATAATAGAATCCTAGAGTTGGAAGAGACCCCCTCAAAGGCCATCCAGTCCAACCCTATTCTACAAGAACCACCCAGCCAATAATAATAATAATAACCATCATCATCATCATCGAATCCTAGAGTTTGAAGAGACCCTCAAGGGCCATCCAGTCCAACCCTCTTCTGCCAGGCAGGAAGACACTATCTAAGCCCTCTTGACAGATGGCCATTCAGTCTCAAATAATAATAATAATAATAATAATAATAATAATAATAATAAATATCCTGGAGTTTGAAGAGACCCTCAAGGGCCATCCAGTCCAACCCTCTTCTGCCAGGCAGGAAGGCACTATATAAGCCCTCCTGACAGATGGCCGTCCAGCCTCTGCTTTCAAAACTCCCGAGAAGGGTTTGGACTCCCAGACTGCAGCAGATTCCACTGTCAAATAGCTCTAAACCACAAGAAGGTTCATAGTATCATAGAATCCTCAAGTTGGAAGAGACCCTCAAGGGCCATCCAGTCCAACCCCATTCTGCCAAAGCCATCAAATGCTAATCAAGGTGGTCAGTTGAAACATTCACACCTAGCTCCAGCAGACAAGAGTCCTTTGTCCCACCCTGGTCTTTCCACAGATATATAAACCCTTTTCCTAGTTCCAACAGACCTCACTACCTCTGAGGATGCTTGCCATAGATGCAGGTGAAACGTCAGGAGAAATGCCTCTAGAACATGGCCATATAGCCCGAAAAAACTTACAACAACCCAGTGATTCCGGCCATCAGAGCCTCACAATTATTTATTTGGGTTGTTGTAGGTTTTTCCGGGCTATATGGCCATGTTCTGGAGGCAATTTTCTCCTGACGTTTCGCCTGCATCTATGGCAAGCATCCTCAGAGGTAGTGAGGTCTGTTGGAAGTAGGAAAATGGGGTTTATATATCTGTGGAATGACCAGGGTGAGACAAAGGACTCTTGTCTGCTGGAGCTAGGTGTGAATGTTTCAACTGACCACCTTGATTAGCATTTAATGGCTTGGAAGTGCCTGGGGGGAATCTTTTGTTGAGAGTGATTTGATGTGCCTGATTGTTTCCTCTCTGTTGTTTTGCTGTTGTAATTTTTGAGTTTTTTAATACTGGTAGCCAGATTTTGTTCATTTTCATGGTTTCTTCCTTTCTGTTGAAATTGTCCACATGCTTCTTGTGGATTTCAATGGCTTCTCTGTTATTGTTGTTGTTATTAAATACACAACCAGATTAGTCCACAGCAAAAAAGATCACTCTACTGGCTGGTGTATTCGATCATACGTCAGACCCTTCCCAAGTGTCTAGGACTGTGCGATGTATAGGCGAATAATGCGCACAGATCCCAGTTAGCTGGCATGTGGTGACTTTGTCAGCGCCGATTGTGTTTAAGTGCAGGCCAAGGTCTTGAGGCACTGCACCCAGTGTGCCGATCACCACTGGGACAACCTTGACTGGCTTGTGCTGGAATTTTTGCAGTTCGATCTTTAAATCCTCATATCGTGTCAGCTTTTCCAGTTGTTCAATGTATTGTCGAAGGCTTTCATGGCTGGAATCACCGGGTTGTTGTAGGTTTTTTCGGGCTGTATGGCCATGTTCTAAAGGCATTCTCTCCTGACGTTTCGCCTGCATCTATGGCAAGCATCCTCAGAGGTAGTGAGGTCTGTTGGAAACTAGGAAAAAGGGTTTATATATCTGTGGAATGACCAGAGTGAGACAAAGGACTTTTGTCTGCTGGGGCTAGCTGTGAATGTTTCAGCTGATCACCTTGATTTGCATTCAATGGCTTGGAAGTACCTGGGGGGAATCTTTTGTTGAGAGTTATTTTATGTGCCTGCTTGGAGTTTCCTCCCTGTTGTTTTGCTGTTGTAATTTTTGAGTTTTTTTTAATACTGGTAGCCAGATTTTGTTCATTTTCATGGTTTCTTCCTTTCTGTTGACATTGTCCATATTATTATTATTATTATTATTATTATTATTATTATTATATCTGAGCATTTCATTTCTTTTCCATCTAAGCAGAGGTCTCCATATTTCTCCTTGTTGAAGTCCATTTTGTGGCAGGGACACCATTCTGGGGATTGCATTCAACAGAAGTATCCAAGATGCTAAAACTATTTTGGGGAGTGTGCAATACTACGCCGACCCTGCAGAGTTGACCGTCAAGGCCTGAGCGCATTGTAGGATTTTGCACCAAATGCAGGGAAACTGTGACGCTTGTGGGAATGACCTTATTCCACTCCGCCTTCTGCATCCCGGCCTCAATCCTGGGAGAAATACCGAAATGATTCATTCCTCGCATGAAGAAGTGAAGTGACTGGAGATTTATTTCCCTGCGACGCCTGGTTTTATGGCTGCGATGCCGGAGCTGGTTGTGCGGAGGGCGTGCGAGGCGGAGGGAAAGGGTCAACAGGAGCCAAATTGGATGGCGGGTTCTTTATAGTTACGCGATATGAGAAAACACAACCTGTTTTATGCACTGCCGTAGCGCCAAGGTCTGCAATATGCGCGTGTGCGCAGGATCCCATGTCAGTAAACCTGGAAATACGATCGGCGGGCCTTCTCTTCTGTCTACCGGATTTACTCCAATCTAATGTGCCTCTTTCTTGACATCCAATGACCCAAATGTTACGGTGCTGAGAAATAGCAGAGAAACAGACAGATCTGTCTGATTTTTAAAATCTTATTAACCTTTTCAAACCTTTTTTTTTGTCCTTGCCATCCTTTTCTCCCTTCTCCCTTCCTTTTTCCCATTTCTTCCTCTCTTCTTACCTTCCTTCTTTCCTCCACCTTCTCTCTTCTCATCCTTCTTTTTTTCCCTTTCTCGTCCCTTTCTTTCTCCTTTCCTTCCTTCTCGCTTTCTTTCTTTTCTTTCTTCCCTTCCTTCCCCCCTTCTTCTCTTGCTGAATGTGGGAGTAAGTGAGGGCAGGACTGGAACGATTGGCACTTCTGTATTACAGAGATTAGCATGCGCGTGTATGCCGTCGGTGATAGGAAGCCATTGCGTTATTGGGTTATGAAATATATTACTCAGCGCGGCCTGGGCTTGGAGGCATAGCGTCCATTCCGGAATTTGCTCTGTACTTGGCCGGGTCGTCCAAAGAGGCCTCCGAGAGAGGCGAGTGATGAGAGTTCCTTGGGATCGTGCAGGGGGTTGCTGTTCGTCCCACAACTAGTGATCAAATAACTTATGTGCGCTGCGTCGTCCACTTGTGCGCACCTGTCGTCAGTTCCCACTGGTCCTGAAGGATGAATAGCTAGGACGACAATGCGCAGGAGCTGTATGATTATTTAGACGTGCTCAAGGCAGGAACACTAGGTTCATTCTTCCCATCTATTCCTCCCTCTCTCCTTCTCTTTCGTCCTCTTTTCTTTCCTTCCTTTTCTCTTTCCCTTTCTTTCTTTTCTTTCTTCCCACCTATTCCTCCCTCTCTCCTTCTCTTTCTTCCTCTTTCCTTCCTTTTCTCTTTCCCTTTCTTTTCTTTCTTCCCATCTATTTCTCCATCCCTTCTTCTCTTTCTTCTTCCTTTCTTCCCCTTCTTCCTTCCCACTTTCCCTTTCCTTCTTCCTATCTATTCCTCCCCTTCTCCTTCTCTTTCTTCTTCTTCTCATCCTTTCCTTTCCTTCCTTCCCTCTTTCCCTTTCATTCTTCCCATCTATTCCTCCCTCTCTCCTTCTCTTTCGTCCTCTTTTCTTTCCTTCCTTTTCTCTTTCCCTTTCTTTCTTTTCTTTCTTCCCATCTATTCCTCCCTCTCTCCTTCTCTTTCTTCCTCTTTTCTTCCTTTCCTTCCTTCCCTCTTCCCCTTTCTTTCTTTTCTTCCCATCAATTTCTCCCCTTTTCCTTCCTTTCCTTCTTTCTTCTTCTTTCCTTCCTTTCCTTCTCTTTCTTCCTCTTTTTTTCCTTTCTTCCTTTCCCTCCCATCAATGATACTGCTGCAGAGAAGGATCAGGAGACTCCTGGCTTGTTGGCCATGTGGTCATTCCCCATTGTTGGCTCCCCCTCTGCCTTGTCTTCCTTCTAGTGAGGACGCATTTTGCCTCTCTCCAGGCAAAATGTAGCTGCATGGATATTTTGCCTTTTTAAACCTTTTGCCTTTCTTAGAATAAGGGTTTTAGCAAGCTAATGAGCACAAGACCTTTTCTATCTAGAATGTATTCCTTTGCTTGAATAAGTATTTTGAATCTAAAGTTCTGACTCTGCAATCCTACTTTATCCTGTTCAATGGAAGCTAATTCTGACTCACCACATATAAGTTTCTGCTGGGGATGAAGCCTTCTTCTAGCGCTCTGCTCTATTTATGGTGGAATCACCCCAAGTGAGGATCCTTTTTGAGCCAAACAGCTCTGATTCCCAACACTCACCATCAGGGCGGCGTGGTTCCGACACCGGACGGCCTTGTGGAGCGCGGTGAGCCCCTCCCGCGTCCGGAAGTCCAGGTGTGCACCCCCGTTGCGCAGGGCCTTGACCACCTCCACCGAGTAGTCCAGCTGGACAGCCATGGTCAGAGGGCATTCTGTGGGGAAAGCAGAAGGTGGCAGATTGAGCCCGGTGTCCAGAATCATAGAATCATAGAATCCTAGAATCCTAGAGTTGGAAGAGACCTCCTGGGCCATCACCCAGTCCAACCCCATTCTGCCAAGAAACAGGAATATTGCATTCAAATCACCCCTGACAGATGGCCATCCAGCCTCTGTTAAAAGCTTCCAAAGAAGGAGCCTCCACCACACTCCGGGGCAGAGAGTTCCACTGCTGAACGGCTCTCACAGTCAGGAAGTTCTTCCTCCTGTTCAGATGGAATCTCCTCTCTTGTAGTTTGAAGCCATTGTTCCTGCGTCCTAGTCTCCTGGGAAGCAGAAAACAAGCTTGCTCCCTCCTCCCTGTGGCTTCCTCTCACATATTTATACATGGCTATCATATCCCCTCTCAGCCTTCTCTTCTTCAGGCTAAACATGCCCAGCTCCTTAAGCCGCTCCTCATAGGGCTTGTTCTCCAGACCTTGATCATTTTAGTCGCCCTCCTCTGGGCACATTCCAGCTTGTCAATATCTCTCTTGAATTGTGTTCCAGAGGGCGACTAAAATGATCAAGGTCTGGAGAACAAGCCCTATGAGGAGCGGCTTAAGGAGCTGGGCATGTTTAGCCTGAAGAAGAGAAGGCTGAGAGGAGATATGATAGCCATGTATAAATATGTGAGAGGAAGCCACAGGGAGGAGGAGGGAGCAAGCTTGTTTTCTGCTTCCTTGGAGACTAGGACGCAATGGAGGAATGGCTTCAAACTACAAGAGAGGAGATTCCATCTGAACATGAGGAAGAACTTCCTGACTGTGAGAGCCGTTCAGCAGTGGAACTGGCCTTTTTTTTGGGGGGGGGGGGAATCCAAAGCCCTCTCTGTGGGTCACCAAGGAGACCTTTCCCCTGCTTTGCATGGACCTCCCTTCCATTGCCTCCCTCTGCCCCAAAACCACCCCAGAAGACCGAAAAGAGCAGCCCACCTTCCCACTGAATGCCCCGGGTCTCAAAATCCACCCATATACATGCAGTGAGCAAATACTGATGATGACAATGATGTTGTATGTGGAATCTCCTTCCTTTTCTGTAGTTTGAAGCCATTGCATCGTAGTCTCCAGGGCAGCAGAAAACCAGCTTTCTCCCTCCTCCCTAGGACTTCCTCTCACATATTTATACACTGCTATCATGTCTCCTCTCCACCTACACATGCCCAGCTCTTTCAGCCGCTCCTCATAGGGCTTGTTCTCCAGACCCTTGATCATTTTAGTCACCCTCCTCTGGACACATTCCAGCTTAGGGTCAACATCTCCCTTCATTTGTGGTGCTCAAGGCTACAAAATCCTGGGAGTTGTCGTTTTCCAAGGACTTTCGCCTTTGTCTGGGTGCATCTCTACTGTTGAGAGCACATTAACTGCTACGGTTGAATAGTACAGAATCCTGGGATTGATTTTCTTTTTGACAGAGAGCTCCTTGCAAAACTACAAATCCCAAGATTCTGTAACATCGAGTCATAACGGTGGTGCAAAAACCCTGTTTACTCCCCAGAGCTGCATTTAATATCTCCGAGATGCGTTCCAGGCTGGGAAGATAACAATAACAACACTTTATTTATATTCTGCTCTTCTCTTCCTGAAGGGAACTCAGGGTGGAACACAGTACACATACACGGCAAACATTCAATGCCATTTTGAACAGATGAGACAGACAGAACACAAAGGAGGTATGTTGTGTTAATGCCCAGGTTTTTGGTGCCTGGAGGTTGAGCTCAAATCCAGCCACAGGGGGGTGCTGTCGCTCCATCCTTCCGGGTATTTTCTTATCTTTTTCTTATTATGGTGTTGTAAAATGCCTCCCCTGCTTGTTTAGCAGTACCGAATTTCTCTACTTGCAGCTCAAGCTATTTTCAAACTGCTTAGGTAAGCCATGAGCTAGGCTGACAGTTGGGCACTTACACACACCTGGGGCTTCAAACTGGCAGATATTATAATTGCTGGTGATCTACCGGGCCCATTGTTGGTAGATTGCAACAATGATGGGTGTGGCAATCCAGTGTTGGAGCTCAGCCTGTGATTGTGTTTCAGAATCAGGGTGCTTTGGATGTGGGGAGTGATGTCAATGAGTTTCAAGATGACAATAGTTTGGTCAATGATATTGATGCAGAGAATGACCAGGCAATCCCTGTTCAAAGTGTATTTTCTCATGAGAATGTCCCTGAGGGGTGCGGGGATGATAGTGTGCTCTCTGAATTGCTACCAGAGAGTTCCCATGATTTGGAGCTTAAGAACAGCTCGGCACCAGGTGCAAGAATTAATGAGCAAATAGATAGACAAGAGTATTGTCGAAGGCTTTCATGGCCGGAATCACTCAGTTCTTGTGGGTTTTTTCGGGCGATATGGCCATGTTCTAGAGGCATTTCTCCTGACGTTTCGCCTGCATCTATGGCAAGCTTCCTCAGAGGTCTGAGGAAGCTTACCATAGATGCAGGCAAAACGTCAGGAGAAACGCCTCTAGAACATGGCCATATAGCCCGAAAAAACCCACAAGAACTGAGATAGACAAGAGATTAGTTAAAACAGAAAAGCCGAACAGTGGCTTCAGCGTTCTGCCAGGCTCCGAGAGAAAAAGATAAGAGATTCTAAAGTAAAGCGAAACCAATTTCTGAGCACTTGGGACATAGCTAACGAGGAGATAAAAGTCCCAAGTACAGGATATGTAGTCAGATGAAGCATCGTTTGGAATCAAGTGAAGATCTCGTCCTTGTTTCATGGAAGCCTAGCTTGGAAAATTCATATTTAAGTGTCTTTTGTTTCATGGTTTTGATTCTTGTATTTTATGATTTTGTATTCATGCCTTAGATTCATGTTTCCTGGTTTCTTGGATTTTATTAGAGACGTTTTGACTTTGTTTTTGTGGACTTTGCTTGACTATTTTCCCTGGACTATATTGTTCCTGCTTATCTTCTTACCTAATTGGATTTACTTATTTCTTTAAAGTGTTTTTTTACTTTACTGCTTTTTAATTATCTTTAATAAAAGGATTGTTTACCTACTAAACGGTGTGGTGTCTAAAGTCAGAAGGCTTTTCCTGTTCTGCAGTGGAACATCCAGTACCCCTGGAAAGCACTTAGGCCCCTTCTACACTGCATTATAATCCGGATTATAAAACCCACACGATCTACTTTGAACTGGGTTATATGCATCTACACTGCCTTATAATCCAGTCCAAAGCAGATAACCTGGATTTTATATGGCAATGTAGTTGGAGATCTACACTGCCCTATAATCCATTTCAAAGCAGATAACTTGGATTTTATATGGCAGTGTAGATGGAGGTCTACACTGCCCTATAATCCAGTTCAAAATAGATAATCTGGGATAAGGTCCTGGAATATAGGGTAGTGTAGAAGTGGCCTGGGAGTGCATTTATGCTGTGGAAATAATGTGGTTTGATACCAGTTTAACTGCCATGGTTCAATTCATTTGGAATCCTGGAAGTTGTAGTTTCACAATGTCTGGGTCCTTCTCCGCAAAAGGGTATGGGAGCTTCGTCAAACTACAAATCCCAGGATTCCACAGCACTGGACCATGGCAGCAGCATGGTTAGAATGGAGCAGCAGCACTTTTCAAAACCAAGGCCTTAAAGAACCCCATTTACCCCCAAGGCTGCAATGACTGTCCAAGTATATCTGCATCAAGAGGAGCCTAGTGTCTAGATCTAGGGAAGAAGTCCTGCTCCCCATGGTCTATTCTGCTTTGGTTAGACCACATCTGGAATATTGTGTCCAATTCTGGGCACCACCGTTCAAGAGAGATATTGACTCTAAGCTGGAATGTGTCCAGAGGAGGGCGACTAAAATGATCAAGGGCCTGGAGAACAAACCCTATGAGGAGCGGCTTAAGGAGCTGGGCATGTTTAGCCTGAAGAAGAGAAGGCTGAGAGGAGGCATGATAGCCATGTATAAATATGTGAGAGGAAGCCACAGGGAGGAGGAGGGAGCAAGCTTCCTTTCTGCTTCCTTGGAGACTAGGACGCAATGGAACAATGGCTTCAAACTACAAGAGAGGAGATTCCATCTGAACATGAGGAAGAACTTCCAGATTGTGAGAGCCGTTCAGCAGTGGAACTTTCTGCCTCGGAGTGTGGTGGAGGCTCCTTCTTTGGAAGCTTTTAAACAGAGGCTGGATGGCCATCTGTCGGGGGTGCTTTGAATCCAATATATTCCTGCTTCTTGGCAGAATGGGGTTGGACTGGATGATGGCCCAGGAGGTCTCTTCCAACTCTTTGATTCTAGGATTCTATAACTTCCTGACTGTGAGAGCCGTTCAGCAGTGGAACTCTCTGCCCTGGAATGTGGTGGAGGCTCCTTATTTGGGGGCTTTGAAGCAGAGGCTGGATGGCCATCTGTCAGGGGTGCTTTGAATGTGATTTTCCTGCTTCTTGGCAGAATGGGGTTGGACTGGATGAAGGCCCACCAGGTGTGGTGGAGGCTTCTTCTTTGGAAGCTTTGAAACAGAGGCTGGATGGCCATCTGTCAGGGGTGCTTTGAATGCAATATTCCTGCTTCTTGGCAGAATGGAGTTAAACTGGATGAAGGCCCAGGAGGTCTCTTCCAACTCTAGGATTCTAGGATTCTATCTTTGGCTGGGATGATGGGTGTTGCAATCCAGCACACCTGGAAGGCACCTGCAGCCTGAGAAACCACCTGTTTCCACACCAATGAATTGCCTTTCCGAGGCGAAACAGGCACCCCCCCCCCTCCTCGTGTGCCGCCCACTCCTCTTTGCCAACACGTGCATGGCACCAGGCTTTGCCTCCGGATGCAGCAGCTCCTCGGATCGTTGCAATTAATTATTGTTTGAAGCAAAGGAGGAGAGAAGCAATGCGGAACGTGCCTGGCTGCCAGCGCAATTAAGAGGAGCAAACCCCTAATTTGCAGGATGCGCCGCGCCTTTTCATGTCCTTAAACTGCTAACGAAAGTTTAATGAGGAAGCCGTAATTGCTTGTTCGGCTCCCCAACTCAAAAGGTGCCGAATGCATTCGGCTCTCCAAAGCCGGCACTGCGTTCTTCCTTCCCTTGGGTCAAGATCCCCCCTTGAGCCAAGTGCCAGACCTTTCCTCACTTTGTAAGGTTTTGTCATTTGGGAGTTGTAGTTTCTGGGATTTATAGTTCACCTACAATCAAAGAGCCTTCTGACCCCACCAACGATAGAATTGGGCCAAACCCCCCACACAGAACCCCCATGTGGGCCACAGCAATGCTTGGCGGGACGGCTAGTCTATATAAATAAAACTGTAATGTTCATTTGTGGGATTAACACAACACTAAAACAACTGGAGGAATTAAAACCAAATTAGAACACAAGACACCTCTCAGGCCAACGGGTGACCATCACTCATAAAAACACTGAAAAACACAGCAGAAAATACTTAAAAAACCAAAAAAAATTACATTACAACGCATGCACAAAACCACACACATATATGCAAACACACATATATACACATATATACACAGCGGAGCAGTTGCAATTCCTAGACGACACAGCTGGACGAGATCCCTTCCAGTCCGGCTTCCGTGCAGGGCACGGGACAGAGACTGTGCTGGTCTCCATCACGGATCGCCTTCGATGCCAGCTGGACCAGGGCGGGTCAGCGCTGCTTGTGTTATTCGATCTCACAGCAGCATTGGACACAGTCGACCACCATCTTTTGACCCACAGCTTTAAACTGGCTCCCCTCCTTCCTTCACAACCGTGGACAGCGAGTGGAGAGGGGAGGCCTGGTCTCTGGGAGGTCCCCTCTCTCTCTCTCTCTGGTGGGGTTCCTCCTCAGGGGGCCATTCTCTCCCCTCTCTTGTTTAACATCTCTATGCGACCACTTGCTCTGCTGGTTCGAGAATCCTAGAATCATAGAATCAAAGAGTTGGAAGAGACCTCCTGGGCCATCCAGTCCAACCCCATTCTGCC